GTACTTTATTCTTGTGTATGTATGCTACTATGTCTAGAATATATATCCAGAACTGTGATTATTAGATCAAAACTTATATGTATTTCTAATTTTCGTATATAATATCATATCCGTTACTATTTACGTTTCTACCAGTTATATTAGAAATTACTTCTTTTCTCACTTTTCTGTCATCAGCAAGTATTATTTATCATTTTACTTTTTTGCTTATCTGATAAGTGAAAATGATGAACCAATTTTTAAAATATCCCTAGTTATTAATGAGATTAAACATTGTTTCCAGTATTATTTATTTTGATTTGCTTTTCTGTAAACTTATCTGTCCATATCTTTTGTTCATTTTTCAATAGGTTATCTACTTGTTTTCACCTTTTTGTAAGAGGGTGTGTGTGTGTGTATTTTATAATTATTAATCCACTAACCTTATACATCATTAGTGTTCAGTGCCTCATATCTGTTCTTGAGATGGTCTCCAATTTCAGGTGTGATATACTCTAGGCTGTATTTTGATTTTCCTGGACTTGTTTTAATTTTCTACAGCTTCAACTTGAACTTGCATATGAGCAATTGATGGTCTGTTCCTCAGTTGGCCCCTGGCCTTGTTCTGACAGATGATATTAAGCTTTTCCATTGTCTCTTCCTACAAATGTAGTTGATTTGATTCCTGTGTTTTCCGTCCGGTAAGGTCCATGGGTATAGTCGCCATTTTTGTTGTTGAAAAAAGGTATTTACAATGAGAGCGTCATTGGTCTTGCAAAATTCTATCATACAATCTCCAGTGTTGTTTCTATCATTAAGGCCATGCTTTCCAACTAAGAATCCTTCTTCTTCGTTTCCAATTTTCGCATTCCAATTGTCAGTAATTATCAATGCATGTTGATTGCATGTATGATCAATTTTAGACTGCAGAAGTTGGTAAAAATCTTCAACTTCCTCATCTTTGGCGTTAGTGGTTGGTGCATAAATTTGAATAATAGTCTTATTAACTGGTCTTCCTGGTAGCCGTA